GCTGTTTCCTGGTACTGTCCTATGTGGCTGCCCTGAACGTCCCCAGTGCCCGCAATAGAGTCTTGGCACAGGGGGACATTCTGCGTGTCTCTTCTGCTCTCCCCTGGGATTTACAGTGGGACCTGCTTCTCAGTCCAGCACGAGAGTCAGTCTTCCATCACTGTAACAAATCACTCCTCAAGCCAAGAGGTTTGTTACGGCTCATGGTTTTAGACCATTATCTGAAAGACCCAGTGCTGTTAGGCCTTGGGTTGTGCCACTTCTGGTTTGCAATGGAGGTGTGCGGATGGCGGAGCAAACTGCTCGTCTCCTGGCTAGGAAGCAGAGGAAGAAAAGAAAAAAAACAGGGAGCGAAGAGACAGCTCAGTTGGTAAATTGCTTGCCTTGCCAACATGAGGGCCAGAACTGGATGCCAGGATCCCTTTAAGAAGCTGGACATGATGGTAAATACTTGTAATCCGAGGGCTGGGGAGAAGAAACAAGGGGTTCCGTAGGATTTGTTGACCAGCTAATTTAGCCCACTTGTCGAGTTCTAGGCCAGTGGAAGATCTTGTGTCAAAACAAAACAAAAATAGTGGATGAGACCCTGAAAAATAATACTTAAGACACACACAGAATGTTGGGGGGGGGGGAGATGCAGGACACAGAGACTGAAGGTCCACCAGTCTCTTTTAAGGGCAGGTCCTCAAGGACCTGGGAGGGTAGGCATTTAACATCCAAATGGCAAGGGTTAACCGAAGGCAGCCTCTTTTCAAACTTCTTGGGACACACAGCAGCTGGCAGGCTCAGCCTGTGCAGGCTTTTTTGTCAGAAGGCCCAGTTCCCATCTCCACCCTCAGAAGCCTGCCAAGCCTTCGTCTCCGGGTTAGGCCACCCTGACCTCCATCTGTGGGTAAAAGAGAAGGGTGCTAGCAACTCAAGAAGCGCCTGATGTTGGACGCCATGACTTCTGCTCCTCAAGACGAAGGCCCTGGAGCAGAAGCTGCTGGAGGGTCCTGAGTCATCTTCAACAACAAAAAAATGTTCCACGGAATTGTGGCGACCGAGTCCATTCGACTGTTCAGATTCCAGTTCTTTAAAAAGTGACCACGCTGTGCAGGGAGAGGTGGGGAGAGGTAAAAGGAGCCTGTCCTGCCGTTGGATCGGGTCTAAAATCTGGTCTCACCCTATCAAAAAGCAGTATTTGACAAGAGGCGTTTAAAAGTCACACAGGTTTTTATCGGAGACTCTTGAGGGGGGAGGAGGGGTGAGTGGTCTCTGTAGAAAGGGCTCCAGCAAGTGAAGTGTAAGCAGTCAGTGGGCTTCAGGAACACAGACCAAGACTAACAGGGTGACTGCCACTCAAAGTCACTTTCCTTGCAGGAAAAACGGGGACCTAATCATGCCAGCCCAGACAGACGGAAACTCTACCTATCCATTGCTATGACTCTCCATATTTTAGGGAAAGCTGACTGCTTCCAGAGGTCAGCTTGCTCACCTGGCCTAGCACGGGGGTACCATTTCAGGTTTGGCCTGGTGCCTAGCGTTCTAATACAGGAGGTCAGTCTCTGGAAAAAAAAACCCATCTGTGGTAATGTCAACGTACATGATGCAGTCACAGCTTGGAGACTCATCTCTCTCTAGCGGCAGCTGTGGGCTTCACCACACAAGACACATCAGAAGATGCCAAGCCAACCCAACAGCATCTCCCAGGGATGGCCCTCTACAAAGGTCACCATTTTCCAGACCGTTCGTATCCTCCAGAGAGGTTCTCATCTCCACCTCTTTCCTCAGCCTGCTATTTCTCTTTCATTTGGCCTGTCTCTGTTTCTTTCTGGTCTTTCTCTTTCTTTCTTCCTGAGTTCCATTCTTTTTCCTTCCCCTGGCTTGTCTAGAATTTTTTTAATTGATTCTGTGTCGATATTTCCTGTCATAATTTAACAAACTGATCATTTAAGGAAACAAATGCTGCCCAGTTCATCTGAATTTTGAATACACAACAAATATTTTGGACATATGTCAAAAGGTAAGTTCTTATTTAGCCAAAATTTAAATCAAACTGGGAATCCCACAGTTTCTGGCTATGTGACTCCCTAGCTCACGGTACACTGTGTAGGACTCAAATGTTTTCTTGTGCCTCTTCAAAATAAAAGGCTGCTCTATGATAAACTCTGTAATTCTCTCATAATTTAAAAGATATGATTAAGCAGTTCCCGGATGCTCTGGAGAGTTTGGGGTCTCTTTATGCACGACACCCATGCTGGATCTCTAGGGAGCCCTTTGAATTCAACACCACCACTCATGCCCCTCCTTGAACCATCCTCAAGGTCAAGGGAGGTTGCAGTGTGGCCACGTGCCAACAGGCATATCAGGCCTATGTGAAAGAAAAGGTTAATTTTGCATATAGTTGGAGTAAGGCAATTAAATTATAAGCTTTTTCCTTTCCTTTTTGTCTCGTATTTGATACATTCTCAGAAGAAAGAATTTCCCTTTCTGAGTCTCCTTTGGTCGTCCTTGAGAGTGAAATACAAGAAAAGGTGTACAGGCAAACACTGCCAGGTCATGTGAGGTCATTCTCCTGCCTGCTGCTATTTGGAAAAACAAACAAACAAACAAACAAAACAACAACAACAACAAAAACCCAGCTTCTGTATGTGAAGGACATCAAGTTGTCTGAAGAAATCGGTACCAAGGGCTCTGCAGGACATCCTGCATCTCCTTCCACCCTGAGTGACTCCAGAAACTGCTGGAAGTCCCCCAAGGAGTCCCACGAGAACGGACCCCATTCCCAAAGTCCCTAGGAAGCCTGCCTCCGGGCGCTTCCGTTTCTTGGTGCTGCGGTCCAGGCCGGGCTTTCTGCTCTGCCTTCTGGAGGACAGCCATCCTTATTGAGTGTATTTCCAAGAAAGCAGTTGACAGGGTTGGCAGCGCTATTCCTGGAAATGTTCAATAGGCCATCCTCTGGCAAGGCCCGCTGCTGACGGATGGGTCTGAAGGGGTACCGCGTGCTCAGCGCCATCTAGGCCGGGCCTATTCCCAGGTGCCTCTGAGCACCAGCCATCTCCGAATACCATGGGCTGTCAGCTGGCCTGGACCTCAGGGCCTCTTCTGTAACTGCTTCTGCCTCCCTGGCAGGATGGATGCCAGCCAACTTGCTGCTAAATGAAGACAGGCGCCCTGTGACTATAAATTATAAAACGTCAGATCCAGCGGATGATCTTGCTGTGTGTCTCTGCAGTCAGCTTGGTGGTGGTGGTGGGGGGGGAGGACACTTGACCATAGCCAGAGGGCATTCAGAATGGTGGCTTTGACTCTTGGGGCAGCCTTTGGAGAGAGGCCAATCCTGCTGCGAGGCAGAACAGCTCCCTCAAAGCTGAGAGTTTCCCTCAGTAGTTGTCTAGTACAGTAGGGACCAAGGCTTCTTGGGATCTGTGTGGGGTGCATTTTGGGGGGTCCGTCTGTGTGGTGGGGGTCATATGTAGATATCCCTAGTCTCCTTCTACCACCGTGTCAGCTGTAGGCCCCTACTGGCAGAATAACACAAGAGTAGCCTGAGCTCTCTGGAAGGACAGGCCGAAGAGCTAGTCCCTGAGGCCAGGGCTGTGTGCTTCAAGTCCTCTCCTTCACAGCATATGCTGCGTTCCTTCGGGAAATCCAAGGGCCACATTTGCTTTTGGAAACATGTCGCAGACAGATGGACAAATGGATGAACAAGGACATGGATGGACATACACACATGCTCTAGATGTTGCTGAAAGTCCCCCCCTCCTCCAAGGCAAGATTGCCCTTAGGTGAAAATCACTACCCAGAGGCAAGGAGCTGGGTTCCTGGAGGTGATGCCAGCAATGCTAGCTGACAATCTGGTGGGTTGGGATACCAGGCAAGCCACAGAATCCATCCGTGGGTCTCAGTTTCCTCATCTCTAAACCGGGAACAAAGAGAAGGTGGGAACAAGGGCCTATGGAGGCTGCACATGACACACTTTCAGGGATGTTTAGTTTACAGATAAAAGAAAACAGCCGGGGTTTAAGCAGAGCTTAAAGGGCGGGGCTCCTCTGAAAAGAAAAAGCCGGGCTGGTTATTTATAAGATTTCCACATGCTTTAAACTGTTTCTCCCCCTCTTCCACTTTCTCACAGAATAACAGTGCTGTGCCCCCAAGATTAGCGAACAAGATTTCTTCAGAAAGGGCTCTGGAAGATTTTTGTTGTTATTGCTGTCCACTGTCATTACCTACCTCCTCTTCCCCCTCCCCGCCCCATCAGCATCCTGGGAACTGTATTTCTCCGAGGAAAGAACAGGAAATAGCTAGAGGGGAGGGCAGGGGTCGGAGGGCGGGTGGGGTCTCCTTGATCTTCTTCAGAGAATGTGTATATTTTCCTGTCTAGTCAGAAACAGAAACTGACCGGGAACTATCCCATGCCCATAGGAAGCCGCTGTGGCTTTAAAACGGCCTTGCCGTTATATAATTCCCTGCTGGCGTCCTCCCTCTAGCTTTCAAGGAATTGTAAAGAAAGCGTGAAAGACTTCTCCTGGCTCCTACCGGCAGAAAACACAAAGGGAAATGGGGAATAACCTGAACTCCCTGGCAGGTACCGGCGGCCCCGGCGCCGGCGCCGGGAGAGGACCGGGGCTGCGCGGGTCCTGGGGACTCCTTCACAGCACATGCTGTGATCTTTTGAAGGCTCCAAGGCCACTTTTGCTTTTGGAAACAGGACACTGTGATTAATCAAAGAAAACAAAACCAGCTTCGTTTCCCATAACAGGTCCACGGAGGGCTTTTCTAAGAAAAACCTTGATCGAAATGTTCCTTCTCTTTTCCTAAAGGCCAAAGAGGAGGGGAATCCACGGAAGTCGGGTCCTGAAGAGTCCCCCTTCCCAGAAAAGGGCTTCGTTATGCTAACTCCCTCAGAGCAGCCGGGCGGCAACACGTCTGCTGCAGCATCGTCGGCCCCTCTGGCAAAAAGCAAGTGATGTCTTGTCCTCCCCCTCCTCCCGCCCCGCACCCACTCAGGTGCTCACCGGCGCTCCCTGGGCCCTTCTTATCAGGCAGGTTTTCTGGAAGATCTGGGGCCGAACCAAACCAGTGAGAACGAGGATCAGAGAAAGTAGGCAGCTGGGATTCCTGTTGCCAGCTCACACAGGCTGACTCTGCAGGAGGTTCTTGCTGTAGGTAGTGAGACAGAGGCAAAAGAGGTTCCACCTGGGTACATGCAGAGCTCAAATAAATAATATTTCAATATAATCTGTTTAAATAAAGATTAGTTTTCAAAAATCCACACTGAACAAAATCTCTAACATTCATAGTATCAGAATGCACTTTCACAAGTAGGGGACGCTCCCAGCTCCCAGCGGTCGCATACTCTTGACTTTGACATTGGAAAGTCCCTACAAAGGAGCTCTGTGCAATGCGAATACCCGAAGAGCCCTGAATTTTGAAACAGAAGAGCAGTGAACCCCATGAGGGTGCAAACTCACTTTCAACCTCTTAGATTGCTCCCCTAGGCTTAAGCCTGGCCACATCTCCATCAGGGGGATTGTGAAGATCAAGTTCTAGCGTTTGATCAACCATAGCCAACGGCAGTCATGGAACGCATCACAAAATGTAGCAATGCCTGCAGTGGCCGGGCAGATGAGATGGTCTTGGAGAGTAGGAAAGAAAAGGCAGGTTGAGGAGTTGTGGAGAGAGGTGCAAGGGAAGATGTGTGGAGAAACACGTGTGTGGGAAGAGGCTGGCCTGCCCTGGTTGGCAGAATACAGACAATTCTCCTGCACCACCCTGGGGCTTCAGCTCGGCTCTTCACAGTGGACAGAGCATCCATCCATCTTCCACATGCTATAAGCCTCAGTTTATCTAGTCTTCATGTGGGGGAGAGGGAGATGGAATAATGGGATGTCCTGAGTATTGTCTGCACAAACCTAGTGTGGTCCATGGCATACGCACACGCACATAAACACACACACACACACACACACACACACACACACACACGTGACCTGTCATGACTGGAGAGATGGGGAGATCAGAACTGGAGAGGTAGGGAAGGACACTCACAGATACTGGAGGAACGGAGAAGAGGACCAAGGAAAGGGAGGGGACTAACTCAGACACCATCCTGGATTCAGGATGTTTAGACAGCAAGTCAGCCCGAGTTTCCCTGGAAATGGACTTAAAAAGAATCAAGCCCGATGATAAATTTGATGTTTCCCTCTGCTGATACACAGGTCTCTGATTCAGTTGTTTTTCTTGAGTATTCTAGAACACTCTGCCCTTTTCATCTGTCCTCCCAAAGGCTGACATTTTATTCATACCACTTGAGAAGACTTCTATCGTATCGATGAAGTTTTAGTTTCTCAGTTAGATAAAGAAACAGAGAAATCCCTTTTCTCCCTACTCACTGATTCTGCCAAACCTCCAACCTTGCCCTTTGGTTTAAGAGCAAGCGGTATTCTGGGAGTGGGTGGAGAACATGGGTGGGCAGCAGGCAGGTGCCGGGCACCAGCTCCTGCCATCATCCAAAGCCCTGGTGCAGAGATACTTCAGGGAAAACAGTTTCTCCTCCAAAGCAGAACTACTTTGAATGGATTCCCTGTGCCTTTCATGGCAGAACAAAGAGGCAACACTGTCCTGTCCTCACGCAGGGAGGGCAGCAACTGAAAGACGATCCCCTGGAAGCCAGCCTGTATGTTGGAGAAGGAAGTGCCAAGGATGTAAAAGAATAAACATTCTAGAGATAATTCCTGACCGTCTTTGGAATGCACTCCTCCTCTCCTGGTAGATTTGTTTCTTAGAGATTGTTTGCTTTGGCTACACAAACTGGTCCGCATTCTGCGAGCACCCACCTGCTTCGGAGGAGTTACTGTCGCCCCTGTGGCAGCTGTGAGGAGGCTGTAGAGAGGCTGGACTGGCCTCCTCAGGCAGCCCGGTGCAGGGTTAACCCGTCAGTCCAGGACACGTGGGCTGGGGTCTAGGTCTTGATAGGACACCAAAAAACAAACAAACAAACAAACAAACAAAAAAAAAAAACCCAGTAATCACAGTAAGTGATGAAGTGCTTTAAGGAAAAAAAAAAAGTACTGCAAAAATCCACAATATTGTGGAATGCATATTCTATGAAATATGAATTTTAAAATAAGACAAAATCTATGCAGAAAATTCATTCAGTGCAGCTGGTAAGTGCTACAATCAGGGTCCTTTGTTTTGTTTTGTTTCAAAGCTTTTTTATATTTATTTGTCGTGAATATGCATATAAATACATACACACACACATATATATATATCCCATATATATATGTTGCTGCAGCATGTGTGTGGGGCACAGATGACAACTTAAGATTATTGGTTCTCCTCCTTTGACGAGTGGGTTCTGATGGAACACAGGTCATCAGCCTTGGTGGCAAGTACCTACAGCAGCTAAGCCATCTCACCCACCCCATCAGATCGAAGGCCTTTAGTGTGGGAAAACCTGGTACCATCTCAGCAGGTCAGGGAAAACACGGTCCCCCACTCCTTCAGAAAATGGTATCTGCCTCACATCTGGACGACAGGGTCTCCATGACTATCAAACTTACAAGCTCCTGCAAAGGGCTGGAAGGACTAGGCATAGCCTGGAACCCCCTTTTCTAAGTGCCTGTTCCTCCCCATCGAGAACATTCCAGCCTCATCCCTCTGTGGATGCACGCCAAGGTCCCAAGCTGACTATGGGAAGGTATCTTATTTATTTCATACTGTGTGTGTGTGTGTGTGTGCGAGCACATTTTAACTACTCTTTAAAAACTAGAATATTCACCTTGCCTTGAAAAATATGTTTAGCAAATGATTAAAAACATTCCATTTTTTCTCTATCTGCTGTATTTGACAACTAGCAAAAGGAACAATAATAATCATTCCCATTTACTGATAACACAGTACCTCTTAGCAGAGTTCAAGGCTTTCAGGGATTTGTGTCTTTCACGCCTCACAATTCTGCACTCATTACTCTCACCTGCAGAAGGTAAATCTGAAGCTCGGAAAACAAACAATGCTCCCCAAATCCCTTGGCTAAGAAACAACCTGGCCCGCTTCCATCCTGGGAGGTGTGGACTGAGTTTACAGGCTATCAGAGAGCTCTAGGAAGCTCTAATGGCCCTGAGTGTGTACACAGGAGGGAGACAGATTTCCACCTGCACCCTCAGAGGCTGTCTTGGCTCCCAGGCTCCTGCTTCTGTCAAACAGAGCGCTTTCTCTCCCCCTCCCTCCCTCCCTTCCTCCTTCCTTCCCTCCTTCCTTCCCCCCTCCCCCCTCTCTCATTTTCTTGTCCTTTTGTTGTTTTTCTCTCTCCTGTTTACTTTCGTTTTGTTGCTTTGTTCATTCCATGATGAACTACCTTCCAGAGGTATTGATTTTGAATGACATTCCGAGGGTACAGTCCATCATGGTGGAGAAGACAAAGTACAAGGTGGATGGTGACACTATCCACAGATGTGGAGCGGAGAGGGGAAGGCTGGTGTTCCCTTCTCTTTCTCCTGTTTTTTCAGTTCAGGGACCCAGCTTGTGTTTTGGTGCTGCCTCCATTCCTATGTGGACTAAGACTCTCTAGAAACACCCTCACAGACATGCCCAGAAATCTGTCTCCTAGGGGAGTCTAAGTCGCATCAATGACAATCAAGATTAACCCTTGCAAGACCACTGCTTGTCAACCTGACACCAGAACACATCACTTTGGAATGATAACGTTGTATGTACTCCCATTCCCTAAAGTCTCGTGTTCATCTTATAATGTAAAACATACTTAGTCCACATATAAGAGTCCTCAGAGTCTTAATAGTCCCAAATTTTTCATATATATAATGCATGTCTATATATAATATATGTGTATATATCTGAGCAGAGTCTATTCTGAGACCCGGGCAGTCTCTTAACTGTTGAGCCCCTGTAACACCAGAATCCCATACCTACCTTGGCTACTTTTATTTCAACTCTCACTGTAATATACAAACCATGACCCTTTCCCCGTCTGGCTACAAGCCCCACGAGAGCTGCCACGGGGCTCCGAGTGTAGCCTTCGTGATCTGGTCGCAGCTGACTATGTGCTCAGTGAGATTTATTTTTCCAGCTAAAGTGCTCAGAGCACCAACGGCATGAGTCACCTTCTAGCAGCTACATTTAAGGGTCACTACCAGGAAAGCGTGTGTTTGCTCGGGAAAGGCAGAAGCGCGGGTCAGGCCATGCTCTCTGACAAGGCTACGAACTGGCTGCTAGCAGCTGGGCGCTTGCGAGCGGCCCGGCTTCCTAGAAGTACACATATTTTAGAATTTGTTTGGAGAAGTTGTGAAATGAACGAATCCCTTTCTATGTATTTGAGAACATTCTGTGTTTCCTCTCATTTCTCCTTGCCAGACAGATACGGTTTCATAACGTCGTTTTTAGGGCCACTGTATCGTAGCATGACCCTCGCCCTTTACTCTTTAGCAGCCCTGCCCGGCCTGGAAATCTCCTGAGGGTAAGTTTGGAAGGGAAAGTGTTGTTAAAAAGCACGTCTGCACCTGGCATTAAGAGGAGAAACGGGAATTTTCTCTTTCACTTTAAATCACAGCTCGGCCTGACTTTTACCCAAAGTCAAAAACTAAAGGCCTCTGTGGATCTAAGCTTTTGATTAAGGCGGCAGAATTGTTCTGGTGCCCCGCGTATTTGCTCTTATTTACAAAATCTAAGTGACTGGATTGGATGCCCCTTGGCATGAAGTTACGGGAAACACAAAGGCTATGGATTCCAATGTTAACTCGTCCACGCAGAAGCTCGTGACCCACTTGACCTTCCAGAGCTTTCCAGAGCTTCCAGAGTCAGAAAGACGCCGGCCTCTCACCCATCTCTCTCTCTCTCTCTCTCTCTCTCTCTCTGCCTTGAGTGTGACAACCACTGAACAATGCTAATGTCCTTCTCCAGACCTTCTGCTAGTCACTATGTCGTAGCCACACGACAGTCCCCACAGAAGCCCTCCGGACGGAGAACACTTTCTATGAGAACAAATCTTCGCTGTGAACTGCGGTTGCCAATCAGCCTTGGTGTCCACACTCGTTGGGGGCAGTGAAAGCTTTGGAGATTCCTGGCAAATGACAAGCCTGTCTAACTCTCTGCTCTCGAGAGTGGCGCTCCTCCTTGTAATCATAGAGAGGGACTTAAAACTCGAGTGGAGAAGGGGAAACAAAGTCACGTGGAGAGGAGGGAGTGAAATACCCAAGGGTAGAGAGAGCTAACACCCTCTTTAGACCGAGGTAGGAGGCAAGGGACCTGGCCATCTTAGTTTGGCAGTTAGATTGCTTACAGATTTACATGTCCAAAAACTGGTTCCTTCCCTGTGTTGCCCAATGCCTTTGATCCTACAGACATGTTTCACGGCTGGTATCCCCTTTCAGCTTGAGAAGCTGGTGCCTGTTATCATACCCATTTTTCAGAAGAAGCAGCCAAGGGGCATACCCAAGTCACACCAGCCTGTGCAAGATGGAGCTGGATTGAACTGAAGACTGCACTCTAAGTTTAAGGTCCGTCCCAAGTCACTCTCTCCCCCTCTCACACAGTTGGAGGAGGACAATATTCCGGTCAACCTCAAAGGGAGTATGTGCTTGGGAGCTGTGGTCAATGCCATAGAGGACAAAGCACCGAACTGGGATGTAAAGACAAAAAGGACCTGGGTCCTATTCCCAACTATTAGCCCCAGGGATGACGCCTTTCTCACTGGGCACAGGGCAGCCAGCGCGACACATGCATCCACGTCCTCCCCTGCGCTTCTGTGTCCTGAGGTGAGTCCATAGCACTGACTTTACAACACAAATGGCTGTGGCAAAAAAGGAACATCTAAAAGATGATCTGGAGTTCATCACACACGCAGCTGGAATTACGTCTTTGGCCTTTTGTGACTGACCCTCATGATAACAAAGCTGTCTCGCAGCTCGGCTTCCTCACTGGAAAAGGAAGGATGATAATGCCTTCCGGACAGGAGGAAAGAGTTTTGAACTTGTTCTCCCCTCTTCTCCAACACAAAGAGATTAGGTTGTTAATCTGGTTGGTGAGTGTCTGGGACAGGGACAGGGCCTTGCAGTCAGCGGGCAGGCAAGGCTGCCCTCCAGAGGCTCGGTTCTGTGCGGTGGGTTTTTCAGCATTGGCTTCTGCCCTGCAGGAGCCTCAGAAGGCGGCTTTCTCTGCCCTTTTGTCACCTTCCTCCCACGCATCCCTTCTAGAAAGTACCATGGCCTCCTCTCCAGACTTAGGGATCCTGGAGAAATTCTGCTTTTATTTGAAACAGCCTCACCGTACAGCCCAGGCTGGTCTGAACTTGCAGTCCGTCTGCTCAGCCTCTGGGTTACGGGGATCACAGGTGTGTGCCATCAAGTCTGCCCTTCTGTTAATCCACAATGAAGACTTGAGTGGATGACTCTAGCCATTAAAAGCAGTACTGTCTCTGTGGACTCATGCCCTCTGCCTGTCCCTGGGGAGCTGCGATCGCCAGCCTCACACGTGATTCCCAACAAACCCACACTCCTAGAAGTTGTGCTCTTTGTATGGAGGGGAAGCTGCGTGACCAATAGGAGTTGGCACAAGAAATGACATGACATCTTCAAGGCAAGCTACACAAGGTCCCGAAGTTCCTGCCGTGGCTGATCTCTTAATTGGATCACTGTAATGGGGGAAGCCAGTCCCTGTAGCGGGACAAGCCTGATACAGGGAGACACCTGTGACTGCCCTTCTGGAATGTTCTCCTCCTTGTCTGATTTTCTTTTGCTGGGAATGAGCTGTGTCTTGCTTCAAATCCTCAGTGTCTAGAATTGTAGCTGGTACCTGTGTTCACTTTTCAATTTTTTTTTAAAAAAAGCATAGTTTTGTACATAGCTTCTATTCATCCTTCCTATTTTCAATGTTTAGAGAGTTGCTTTATTTTTTTTCAGGAAAAAGCTAAATGTGGTGATTTGAATTTCAGGGGCTGAATAAGAAAGCATATGTAGAAACAAAAGACAAAATGAAAACTCTCTTGTTTTACAGAGGGTTTCCAAATTGGTCTCTGAATTTGCCCTCACAGTTCAGTTCCGCGTGCACCATAAGGTGACGTCATCTGCTTTCTCTTATGCCCAGTTAAGTTACATTCAAGGTTAATAAAATTATGCTCTATTAAGCTGACGTTTTTTGGCCCCCAAGGCACAATCATTCAAACTCCCTTACTGTTGCCGTTGGGTCTGTTTTCACTCATTTCTGAAGTCTCCTGAGACTGAAATGTTGATTCTGAAGGCCAAGAAGTCCTCTAAGAAGCAGGAGAATAAAAAAAAAATAAATAAAAAAAAACCCACAGAGGACAGCCTGACATTGTTTGTCTCCTAAGTCTGGATTCTCAGAAGTGAGCTAACGCTGGGCCAGGCGCCCAGGAAATCTGCGCTGTCGATATACGCCTTCCCCTTTCTTCCCTCAAGGACAAAGCTCCTAAGCTAATCGTGTTTTCACCGAGAGCCGCTGAAAAGGCAGGTTAGGAGGTTCGTGAAACTCAAAAGCATGTTACAAAGCCCAGACAGACTTACATGACCCAGGGTTGGTGAGATGGCTCAGCAGTTACACCCACTTGCTGCTCTTTCAGAGAACTCACACCCATCTGGTGGCTAACAACCATGTTGCTCTAGTCCCAGCAGATCCAGTTCTCTCTTCTGGCCTCTGAGGGCACAACACATATGCGGTGCACAGATCTGCAGAAGAAGCACACATACACATAAAACAAAATTAAAATCAAAACACAAAGAGAAAGAAAGCCAGGTGTTGTTGGCGCACACCTTTAATCCCAGCACTTGGGAGGCAGAGGCAGGTAGATCTCTGTGAGTTCAAGGCCAGCCTGGTCTACAAGAGCTAATTTCCAGAATAGGTTCCAGAGCTATAGGGAAACCCTGTCTCAAAAAACGAGAAAGAGAGAGAGAGAGAGAGAGAGAGAGAGAGAGAGAGAGAGAGAGAGAGAAACTTAAAAGTCCCATGTGGCTCTTCCTGGGGTCTTATAAGTGTTAAACAATTGCTGGAGAAGAAAAACCCTTTCCTCTGATACTCACCTACAGGCTGTGCAGGGAGCTGCCATGATGAAGCTTTCTTGGGTTGTTGCCACACTGGGGTGAGCTTCTCAGTGACCCAGCTACCCACATTAACCTTGCCCCCTAGAAGTAACTCCTCATCTACTGGAAGTGATTCTAACAAGTTCATTGATTTACTACTACACTGGGCTAGAATTAATTCTTTGGTCTGTCTTTGCCCTCCGTGGAGGTTGAATAAGAACGGCCCCCATAGGTTCATCTACTTGGATGCTTAGTCACCCGAAAGTGGAACTCTTTGATCTGATTAGAAGGATTCAGAGGTCTGGCCTTGTTGAAGGAAGTGTGTCACTCGGGGGTGGGCTTTGAAATTTTCTCTCTACCGGCTGTCTACAGATCAGGGCATAGAACTCTGAAGCTACTGCTCCAGCACCGTGTCTGCCTGCATGCCACCATGCTTCCCACCTGATGGTAATGGACTAAGCCTCTGAAACTGTAAGCAAGTCCCCAATTAAACTCTTTCTTTTATAAGAGTTGGCTTGGTCATAGTGACTCTTCACAGAAAACACTGACTAAGACACCTCTCTCTCAGATGAAGAGAAACAGACTTCCCAGGAACAGTCACGCCCCGGGGGCCCAGTGTGGAAACGCCACTCTCTGGCTGGTCCGCAGTGGAAGTGCTCGGAGTAGTAGGGTACTACCCAGTACTGCGGTACCACTGTCTACCGCAGCTAAGACAGACCAGCTTCCCCAGTATGGGCAAGGCTTGGAAGTAGAAGGGAGCTCTTGGTTGTGTCTACCTGGAATAAAGCTCCTACAACATGGAGTAACAGAACATGAAAACTGCCGACGATCTATCCCTGTAGCCCCAAGTTGGGAGTAAGGCGAAAGGAAAGGCCTCCCTTGACGTCTTAATTCCCTAAGCTCAGGGTAGAGCTGTGAGTGGCCATGGCTCAGGAACCACAGGCGTTTACTGAGGTGTAGGTTTTCTTAGGTACCTACTTCTCAATTAGTGGCCCACTTTAGTAGAATTTCAAAGACTTGGAATGAATTAAGAAGAAGCTACCTGACTATAAAACCAGTATTTGAGAGACTATAGCAGGAGGATCTCAGGTTTCAGGTACTCCTAGGCTACACGGCAAGCCTCTTATAAAAGGAGGGATGTTGCAGGGAATTGTGGGTCACACCCTCAATCCCAGCACTTGCGGGGCAGAAGCAGGCAGATCTCTGAGTCTGAGACCAGCCTGGTCTACAGAGGAACAGCTACGCAGAGGAACCCTATCTCAAAAAAACAAAGGAAAAAAAAGGGGGGGGGGACGTTGTGTCACTGGGAGGACAGACTGAGATCTTTTTCTTTGTGACAGGATCTCGTGCAGCTCAGGCTGGGTTTAACCTTGCTGTGGAGCCAAGAATGACCTTGAGAGCCGGATTCCAAACTTCCTAACCCTGAGGTCACAGAGGACACCGGATACCCCACGCCCAACCCTTGCCTGTCTGTTCCGTTAGTTATTTCTGATGAAAATCTTTGGCAACCTTATTCTCTGTCTCCTATATGGGTGCCTTTTTATTTATCTGTTACAAGTTTTTTTTCTTCAATGGTCGTTCTCAGTCATTTGGTAAGAGTATTTCCACACAGGAGTTTTCTTCTTTTTTTTGTTTTTCTTGTTTTCATAGATTTAAAGATCATTATTTTTTCTAATAATAATTACCTAATTAGTAATCAAATTTAGAAAGTTATTCAACCAAATCTCTTTAAATATCTCTAGCCTCATCAATTCTCTCTTCTCTACAAATAGTGCATGTTTATGGATATTTTTCTTTAGGTAATTGAAGCTCTGTTCATTTCTCTCATTTGTTCTCATCAATTTGATGTTTTTTTTTTTCTTAGTGACTACTTCTCAAATATCCCAATCTTTTCGTCTGTCTTTTCCAAACCAATGTTTTGGAATTCTCACCTACCATGTTTTCAATTATATGTTTTTTTTTTAATTTCAGATATTTTATTTTTTCAGTTGTAACACTGTATGTTGGTTCTAAAATTTCCATTTTTTTCCGAAAGAGTTTTTCTATTTTTCCTGCAATCCCTACATTATATTCATCTGTTCTGGTAAAATTTAGATGTCATTTTAAATTCTGTTTTTGCTGATTCTAACACGTGCCTGCTTCATGGGGGCCTCTTTATTTGCTGAGATGAGTCATTTTCTGTGTTCCGGCCACACGTTATTACTTCTTTGCACATCTGGTAATTCTGGTTGTACGCTAGACATTGTAGAAACCAGAACGTATGGTATTGCCCTCTAACGCGGTAGTTCTCAACTTGGGGGCCGGGACTCCCTTGGGCTTGTATGTCAGCTATCCTGCATATCAGATATTTACATTATGGTTCATGACAGTAGCAAAACTACAGTTATGAAGCCACAACAAAAATGATCTATGGTTGGGGGCGGTCAGCACAACCTGAGGAACTGTATTAAGGGGTTGCAGCATTAGGAAGGTTGAGAATCACTGCTTTAACCGAGACTGGTTTTATGCCCCTGGAAGTTAAGTTTCTTGTGGATAACCCGAATGCAATGGAGGCGGTTTTCTAAGCCTCGCTCAGCTGGTCCTGTTTAATTTTGCCCCAGTCCTGTGACACAGCTCATCCTCCAGGAATGCCCTGGTATAGCTAAGCCATGCCGCGTGTGTGTTACAGACGGAATTCTCGAGATGCCGGTCAAGCTCTTCTGAGTTGGTAGGATGTTAACTCCAGACTCTCCCCTGTGCCGAGCAGCTGCTGAGAGCTCCGCTTGGCATTCCAGCTGCTGTGATCTTTGGAATTTTGCCCTGGACGTTCCCACCTAAAACTTCTGCCAAGATTTTGTATATACATCTGGGCTCTCCTTCTTCACTGGACCAACCTTCTGGACGAATTCCCTCAGAGTTCCTTAGCAGAGGAAACCTGCTTCCTGCAGATGTGTGAATGTCTGCGGGGGAGAGGGGTTAAAGTGCAATTATGCCCCCATTCAGTTCATGCCTGCTTTTGAATCTGTCTTTAGAACTCCGCATATTTAGGCATACATATATATATAATATGCTTTATTATTATTAATGGGAAATTTAGTCTGATATGAACTACTGTATAAATTTATATAAATTTAAGATTTATATAAATTTAAACATAAGCGGTTATGGTGTTATGATATATTCTATTTTATAATGATGATTCTAATAAACAATACATTTCCTATATCATTTCATGTTGATTGATAGTAATTAATTAACCTTGTGTCTGTTCCGTGGTTGGCAGTGCTTGAGATATTTAACAATAAGCTCAGAAATATAAATCGTTAAGTAGAGCTATGAGTTTTGAACTTGCGTTCTTTCAATGTTCGTTGACTAAATTAGTTTATTGCGCATGTGCTCCCTTGAAAAGATTACAAGAGACGAATCACATTTGAGTCAACAGCACCATGGATTCTCATACTGTGTATTTTTCTGTTTCCAGCTTGCTCTACAAGCAATGGTGCAATAAACAGGTTTCATATATTCATCTTCAGTCTTCTATATAGAATTGTAGACATTAAACTGTGGAAGCAAAACAAACCCACATTCGAAATTTTGATTTTAATGTGTACAGTCATCTGTTGCTAGGCACAGGGAATTGGTTCTAGGACTTTCCCTGTCGGCACTGGATAGTGTTTGCAAAAAAACCTACACACATGCTCCCTTATATGTTAAATCATCTCAAGATTTAATAACTGTTAATAGTCATGTTGATAACCAATGCAATGTGAACATGGGACACAACAGTTATTATACTATTGTGTGGGTGGAATGGTGACAAGAGAATTACACAGAAAGTATGCCCCCCCCCAATACTTTCTGTTCTTAGTTATTTGAGGTCTTTAATGTGGAATTTTCCTTTTCAGTTAGTACACTGGTATGAGCAGCTGAACCAAGTCTGTAAGGACTCGGGGAGCTGGAGATGGTAAAACTCAAGTAATACCAACAGATTAAATAAGCATCCAGCTGAGCCACCAAAATGGAAAACAGACAAAAGGAATTCAGAATCCAGATCTGCAGCCTGTGACCCCCTCCCTGAGAAACACTCCTTTCAGGATGCTCCCATAGCTTGCTTCCTTATATTTATTTTTTATTTTACATATGTGAGTGTTTTGCCTACATGTATGTATGCACGTACATATATGTATGTAGTACCCCAGAGATCAGAAGAGAACATTGGATCCCCTGGAACTGGAGCTACAGATGGATGTGAGCTGCCATGTGGGTGTTGGGAATTGAACCTGGGACCTCTGGAAGTGCAGCCAGTGCTCTTAACCACTGAGCCATCTCTCCAGGCTTCATAACTTGCTTCTGATCATTTTCTATAGTGACAATTTTAGAGTAGATTGTAAGCTCTATTAGGACAGGGCCTGTTTTTGTTTTTGTTTTTTTTAAATACTTGCTTTTGTTGTTTGTATACCTAAGTATACCTTGTATGGTCCACTGGAGACACTAAGAAAAATGTGTTTGCTAAAAGACTAAGTGAACCAACTGAGAGCAAGGACATTTACAGAAGCCAGAGAAATATAGGCTCCGAAACCATGCCATGAGCTGAAAAGAAGAAACGCCGACGGCTTGATGTGAGATACCAGAGGTTTAGAACCCAGAACCTGCTACTGCAAAGTACGGCTGTGGGAGTCTGGAATAGGCCATCCCAAAAGTGGCTCTTTGGTGTGAGGAGCATTTTGAATTGGATGTAGGAAGCTGCAGCCGCAGAAGCTGAGAACACATGGGAAGAAAGCCTTCTGTAGGAGGAATCTCCATCTACCAAGGGCTCTTCAT